TTAGCATTACAATCAATTTTTGATCAAAAATTTCGTTTAATGAATGAAAATCAATATGAAATATTAATTGAATTTGATTTATCTACATCATTTACAATTCAATTAGATGATAAAATATCTACTGTACAATATTTACCACCATTATCTCTTATAATTAATTATCATGATGAATATCCAAGTGATGATCCACCATCATTTATTCTCTCATGTTTTTATTTTTCTACAATTGATTTAGAAAACCTTTGTCAAAAAATTGATAATTTTTCGTTTATTCCAGGTGAAGTTTGTGTTTATGATTGGATTGAATTAATAAAACAAGAAATAACAAATAAATTTATTATTCGTACAAATTTTGAAGAGCAACAAAATGATCCACGAGCATTAAATGGTTATACAATGGAAAATGCTAAAAAATTTTTCAATATTTAATTGATTATAATCAAAAGCGTCAAGAAGAAGTATTTCGAAATCGACTTCAATCATGTTCTATTTGTACAGACATCATTTCAGGCATAGACTGTATTCGTCTTCATCGTTGTGGACATTTTTATTGTCGTACTTGTTTGAATCATTATATTCGAATGACACTTGACAATGGAAAATTTGGAGAAAATCTTCTTTGTCCACAAGATCATTGTAAACAAGCTTTACTTCCAACAGAAATAAAACAAACTATTCAAAATGAAAAATTATATGAAAGATATGAACGATTAACATTGCAACATGGACTTGAATCAATGAAGGATATTGTTTGGTGTCCAAGGTGAGATAAATGAATGAATTATTTTGAGTTCTTTGGTAAAGACATGTATTATTTTCTTACTAAGATTTTTGCAATACCTGTTCTATATTTGATAAACTATATAAAAATATAAGAGTTCGTATTTACAGTTAGTTTCTGAATAGTAAAATTTCGTTGTATTTTTGCAACCCATATTTGTAGCAAGATCATATTTTCAAATTCTGACCTAAAATTTTGATTACGTGAAGATCTCGTTTAAATTAGTGTGCATACAAAAATTCAGAATTTTCTAATAATTGTTTTCGAGTAATCTAGCTATGAATATGGACTTCCTCGAAAAAAAAATGACTAGAAACGTTCGATTTCATCAAAACAAGACCATAATTCAATAGAATTTTGACTGCCATTAACAAAATGAAAAAGTCTCCAATATCTTAGTTGATTTATTCACACTCCATTCTGATAATTCTAAATAAGAATGCAGTAGTAGTGGACAGGATTAAGCAAATAAAGAATATCGACAGAGCTTGGAAACAAGAAGAAAAATTATATTAATAATTATCAGTCGAAGACAAAAATAAACTAGATAGCTATGAACTCATATCTAGCATCAGTGAATGACATAATGTAGAATATATACTTAAAACGAAACTCTAATTAAAATAAATCTAAAATGTCAAGAAAACTTGATTTAGATGTCAATCACCTATTATTAGTAGTCCAGAAGATGATAATCTAGCTATATGTGATCAATGTCATTATACGTTTTGTAAAAAATGTTATGAAACATATCATTTTCAAACAATATGTCCTAAAGATTATTTAATTGAACAAATGAAATTACTAAAACTAAAAGAACTTAAACAACTACAAAAAGAAAAAGAAGCTACATTAGCTAAATTAAATAAAACAAAAGAACAGAAAAAAACTTGGAATGAACAAATTCCTACACAAAGATATCGTCATATTTTTATTAAGCTCTCTGAACAAAATACTTTATTACAAGAAATATTAACTGCTGAACGAATCAATGTAGATGATATTCAATTTTGTCCTGAATGCCATGTAGCAATCGAAAAGAATGGTGGTTGTTCACATATGCGATGTACACGATGTAATTTCGATTTTACATGGCAAACAAAACAAGAACCAACACAAACAGCTATTACTCCATATTTGGAACATAATGATTCCACAAAAATTGAATCTATAAAGGAAGAACTCAACAAAGTAGCATACTTAGGTTAGTAACAATGAAAGCATTGCTAAATAGAAAGTTTTGTACTACAATGAAATGTCAAAAATGATAATTTCTTTTTAGTAACTTTTAAAAGGAAGAATATTTGAATCATACCTGATCACAAACTGTAGAAAACATTTCGCTCGAAAAAAAACCCAGGATAACAAATAAAATTCTGTTGCATATCTAACATAATATGGATTTAACTGTTCCTATTAACAAGTCAGAAAGAAGTTTATATAATTCTCAAATTGTTAGTTTTGTAATAGTTTTACATCTATATTTCGACTCATATTTGTATTTATTGACGAAAATGACATTAGACTATAACGAAAGCGATATATTTAAGGGAAACAAAAGAAAATAATGATTTATATACATTATCTTTCTTTCAGTCGATACTCCTGTACAAGAAAAACTAAAACAACATGAAGATATACCTTCTGATCAAGAACATGAACAAGAACAACAGAAAAATGACGAAGACTTGAGCATTTTAATTGATGATGAATCAACTATTGGTTCAGTTATACTCAACCGAGTGATAACATGTCCTAATGAAGCATGTAGAAAGATTAATGTAAAGATTACTCAAGATAATTGGATGGTATGCAGTGCATGTATGAAACAATTTTGTTTTTTATGTGGATATGGTGTAAATGGAATAAAACATTTTGAGAAAAAATGTTTACGAACTACCCCAGTTTAAATAAAACTTACGTACTTAAGATAATATTAGAAGATCATGTGGAAAAACATGCTATCGTGCTTGGTGAATTCACATTGAATAACTACAAGAAAATACTTTGTAGAATTTTTAAATTTCAAATAATGAAGATCTTCATATTTCTATGGAATACATCTAAAATTTTATGACATTTTGAATCGAATTATTTTTAATTCGAAAGATATCCAAATGCTATTTACTTGGAACATTGCTCATTAGAAATTTTAATACAGACACCGGTGCTCTATATTTCTACGTTGTGAATGTGTTTAAAGAGAAGAATAACACTCACACACCCACACCCTCAATGGCCATCACTGGAAATACTATTGCTATGGTAAACTTCAGACTGTAACCCAACTAAAAATATTTGAGTATGAATAAAGCTCCAAAATAAATAAACAATCACCGACATCAATCGATAATGTGGATAGAAGAATAAGACAAGAAAGAGAAGGTTTGCTTATTGCATTTGCTGAAAAATTAGTTGATTCCGTGAAAAATAGAGTACTGTTGTTAAATGAGAGAACAGGCGATTATATTAATTACTCAGATGATGCACATATTATATAAATTTTATAGATAAAAAATAATAAAACTACAGTAATGCGTTTGCCTTTCTAGTTTTATAATTTGCGTCTACTTATGGCGACCACTGTATATATATATATTATAGATGGATCTGCCAGTAAATACTCTTTTCATTTGCATCTATATACACATACTGTTCGGCTTTTTGTATTTTTCTTATTCTCTTCCTACGTGACTTTCTATTTTTTTTTCGTTCGTACTTTGTCTTTCTGTGTTTTGTTCGTTATTTTTTCTTGTTTTACTTTGACTTCGCACATTTCTGCAGTCGTCATTCTCCTTTTTTTTTCTTATTTGTTTATTACTTATCGCTCTTCATTTATTTCATCAGTATTTCTTTTTGCTGCTTACTGCGACACATATCTATTCACAATTTGCGGTCATCACATGATACAGTTACCTTCAAATAAAACTGAAGTATGGTAGTATTTTTTTTTGAATTTGCAATATCAAGAAGTATATTTTATATCCAGCTACTACCACATAAAAGCGTCCTGCATGACTATGGACAATCTACAATTTTTTTTTCATAAATAATTACCCTCCGAGCTTTGGTCATCATGAGAATAATAGAATGACAAGAATGATACACAGTAAACGTTCTACATTTGCTATTCTTGGCAATATAAGTCATCAACTAATTGGATAGCTCACCTGATCGTCTTTAGTTCAGAGCTATCAAGGCACCACATTGAAATGAACCAATCAAGAAATTATTTGTAAGACATGAAAAGGTGGTAGCATTCGTTTTTCATTTTCCTCATGCATCGATTTTTCTTCTTCCGAACTCGTGAGCGCAAATAAAGAATCGGCGAAAATTTGCATGTCTCCTTGATTATTGTGAGCATTTTTTTTCTGTATCGTCTCTGTTTGTAGTATGCGTTACGTACCTTCGTTATTGATTGACAATTGGCGTTTGTCACATTTATATTTCTATTCGGATGAACGAATCTATGCTCGATCTATGTTTATGATTATAATCATTATGCAATTGGCTTCAGTTGGTTTGAGTGTTCTGTTCTCTTATTGGCACAATGCTCTTTTCAGTGCTCTTCAACAATTGGACCAATCTGCATTTTTTCGGTTAATATTCTACTTTCCTTTTATTATTCTCATAGTAATCGCTGTGAGCGTTTACAAAAGTTACTTCGCACAATTATTTGAACTTCATTGGAGACGTTGGTTAACAAATTACTTCATAACAAATTATCTAGCAGAACATGCCTATTATGGAGCTTCTTTCAAGACAAATCGTGAGGATAATCCTGATCAGAGAATATCTGTTGATATTGCGTCGTATATTACACATACTTGTAATTTGACCATTGGTGCAACACATGCAATAGCTTCATTTATTTCACATGTGTTTATTCTATGGTCTTTATCGAGTGTGATCGAAATTCATGTAACAGAATATGTTTCGTATAAAATACCAGGTGGTATGATGTGGATAGCCATTTGTTATGCCACACTCGGTAAGAAAATATTTTAATCTACTTCAGTCTTCTGTAGAACCTAAGCAATTTGGAAGTTAATGTTTAACCGTCTATAAAACTTTTGAGTGAGAAATATATGTTCTATTGAGTTTCTCATTTTAACTACATTCAGAGGAAAACAAACTTGAAAGTAATTGAAGGAATAAAAACTAGAAATGACTCTAATGTTGAGTTTCACTTTACATGTTCTCGCATTTCAGAAAATTGTCAATAGATGATATATTTCAATAGAAGTATAGTGTATCCCAATGCAGTGAATATAGTGTACCATATCTCTCCATAGTCATTGAGTATATATAGATTGACACTCGACATTTGCGTTGAAATACATATCAGAATTTGATAAATGTAGAAGTTCATGCGACTGTTTCAGGTACGCTAATAACGGATCGTATCGGTCGCAATCTGATGAATTTAAAATATGAACAAGAACATCACGAAGCTAATTTTCGGTATGAACTCGCTCGACTTCGCGATCATGTCGAATCGGTGGCGTTGTATCATGGTGAATTACATGAACATGCATCTTTAACTGCATTGTTCTCTGCGGTGATGTCAAACTTTCGCGAGATCATGCGTTGTTCACTGAACCTCGATTGGTTCTCGTATTCGTTTAGTCACATATCAGATATTTTCCCGTACTTGATTGCTTCGACTCGCTACTTCTCAAAAGAAATAACTCTTGGTGATCTAACACAAATTGGATCGTCTTTTACACGTGTACAAACATCGCTTTCGTTTGTTGCCAAATCTTATGCTACAATTGCACAGTGGAGAGCAGAGACAAAAAGACTCATTGATTTAGCCAATGCTTTACAGAACTTACATGAAGCAAAGCGAAATTCTAAAATCAAAATTGTCCATAAATTGAAAGAGCAAAATATTCGAGTAGAAGGATTGACCGCAAAATTACCATTGAGTATCGATGCCAATTCTCCACAAATACTCATTGAAAATTTCAATTGGATATTCGAACTATATCAATCTGTACTTATTACAGGTAAAACAACAGCCATCGTCATAGCTAATTTGATCAAATCTTTCTTCTGAAATTCTTTTATGTCTTAGGTCCATCCGGTTGTGGAAAATCAACTCTACTTCGAATACTTGCCGGGATTTGGCCGTACGGTCATGGAACAATCACTAAGCCCCTGAGCGACACTATCGAATTTATTCCTCAGAAGCCTTATTGTCCACTTGGAACTCTTCGTCATTGTTTTACTTATCCATCGACGACGCTGCGACCATCAAAGGACGATGCAAATATCGAGCGGATATTGCGTCTTTGTCAACTCGAATCGTTAGCAAACCGCCTAGAAGATATTGAAGATTGGTCTCTTATATTGTCATCGGGCGAACAGCAGAAAATGATTTTCGTTCGAATTCTTCTTCATCAACCGAAATGGATCTTTTTAGATGAAGTAACATCATCGTTAGATGAACGATCTGAAACACATTTATATTCGACTTTACTTCAAGAACTCGGTTCGCATTCAACCATTATTAGTGTTGGACATCGAAAAAATCTGCAACAATTTCATCGAATTAAATTGGAATATACTAACGG